ATTGTTACAGCTACAGGAACTGGTCGGCAGAGCCGATCAGTCCCCAACTCCCAACAGGGAGTGGTCGGCCGAGCCGATCAGTCTCCAACCAAGAAGAAATGGGGAGCAGCAGATTATGTCTAACAATTCTTTCGCAGAGGTCACCATGGACCAGTTCGAGGGTCTCTGCCGCGCGGAACTTCACCGTGCTGGCCACGTCGTCGTCGAGCTCGGAGAAGGCTACCTTGGAGCCCGTCATGTGGTTGCTGGCGCCGGAGTCCAGGTACCACCGCTGCTCCTGCTCGCCGCCCACACGTCCGAGGTGGACTTTGACGTGCGGTTCGTCGAGGTTGACAGCCTTCAGAGCATTCCCAGGCCCTTCCACCGCCATCCCCTCTCCCTTCTCCTTGGCCTCGACGTCGTGCAGTGCACAAAACGTTGCCATCAGGAGAGTGGCCTCATTATCATCATCAGCCTACGCCAGATGAACCTCAACCTTCTTCTCCTGCTTGCGATTTGGGCACTCATTTTCCTAATGGCCCATCTTCCCGCAGCGCCGGCAGGCGTTAGGGTCGACCTTCTTCTTCTTCTTCGAAGAAGCCTTGCCGCGGCGCTTGCCATCGCCACCGCGGCTGGAGGAGGCTTCCCCGAACTTCTTCTCCTTCATCCGGGCAGCCCACTCCTCTTCTGTCAGCAGCAACTTGCCGCTGTCCATCGTCGTTGTGGCCTGCTCCACGCGCTTGTCCACCGCCCGCAGGTGACCTGTCACATCCTCAATGGTGAGGGTGGACAAGTCCAGCATCGTCTCTATGGAGGGAGCAATCTGGATGTACTTCGCCGGCACGGAGTGAAGGTATTTGGAGACCGCCTCTTCTTCGTCGATGGTGACGCCGTGGCTCCTCAGCTTACTGATGAGCGTCTGCAGGCGGAGGGAGCAGTCCTCCACCGATTCACCATCCTTGAACTTGAGGTTGGCGTACTCCTGCTTCAGCAGCTGGGCCGTCGCCTTCTTTGCACGGTCGGAACCAACGCGCATTGCCGTAATTGCCTCCCACGCCTCCTTAGCAGAGCTCTTCGCCCCCAACGGCTCTCTGTATTCCACTGGCACAGCAGCGAGGATGGCTTCCAACGCTGACATGTCTTCTTCGTTGCCGATGCCCTTGTCAATGGTATTCCAGAGCCGTCGGGCTCTGAGCTTATCTTCATGGTCACCGCCTATTCGTCATAGTTGGTGCGAGTCAGCGTCGGCCAACTGGTGCTGCTGACTACCCGCACCATGCGCACAATGACCTCCTGTCGTGGCTGGTCAGCCACAGCAACGCCGCTGCTGTCGCCCATCTCCAAATCGTCCGTCCTCGCCAGCGGTTAGTCCGACGACGACGCTTGTATGGCTCCGATACCACTTGTTGATCCCTGGCTACCCTGCACACGTAAGCAATTAGCTTACCAGCACACACACTTACTCGCTAGGGCTAGAGGTAGAAGAAGAGATTGAGAACAGAGCGCACACACACACTCAGCACAAGCACCAGCGTTGGCCGAAGCCCTGCCCTTTGGTTTGTGACAACTGAACTAAGTATTCCATTACCCTTTGGATGGAATATATACAACTCTAGCTGTACCTCTACCAGGTACATAGTTGTTGGCCAACTACCTACTCCTGAGTACAAGAGTACACCAACTATCTACTCCTAAGGTACATGGTACACCAACTAACAACTCCTAAGGTACAGAATATACCAACTACTCCTAGCAGTATAAAGCTTACCTCACCCCACTACCAAGACATGGCTAATGTAATAGCTACTAACTAATGTACTAAAGGTGACCTATTGCAATACTGCTACAGCTACCGGAACTGGTCGACGGAGCCGATCAATCTCCAACTCCCAACAGGGAGTGGTTGGCTGAGCCGACTAGTCTCCAACCAAAGAGAAATGGGAAGCAGCAGATTATGTCTAACAGGATCAAGATCCACCTACAATTGATTTTTTTTTATAGTTTTCATGGATTTAAACTAGAAAAATTCAAGGTGCATTTTTTAAATAAAAATACTGTTATGCCAATAATCCTGTCGCTTACAACCTTGTGTTCTTGTACCTACAGCTTTATCCAGGAGGTCGGCTGGGATGAAGACCTGGTGAACAAGTCCTTCCCTTGGGTAGAAGAGAAGATTGTCCAGTGGCCTAAGATCGCACCTTGGCAGGCCGCGCTACGGGATGGGCTGCTACAAGCAGGTGTAGCCCCTTTCAATGGGTATACCTACGATCATGTTTCTGGAACAAAGGTGGGCGGCACCATCTTTGACGAGACTGGGTACCGCCACACGGCTGCTGACTTACTAGCAGCTGGAGATCCTGACAACCTCAGGGTGCTACTCCATGCTAGTGTTCACAAGATAGTGTTTGACTCGCGACAAGGTAATAATATAATTACCCATGTACATACATGTAAGCACCCTTCCGTAAACTGTTCATGTTACAAAGAAGTCGAGTTAATGAAATATACCTAGAATAGAAAGAGTGAAAGCTACAGCAAATATACGTACCATTTTCAGAAACATCATTCTGATGCAGGACGACTAAAGGCAAGAGCCATCGGAGTCCAATTCACTGATGAGAATGGGAGACACCACCAGGCATTTTTGAACAGCAACAAAGATAGTGAAATAATTGTATCTGCTGGTGCGATCGGTACCCCCCAGCTGCTGCTGCTCAGTGGGATTGGACCCAAGAATGACCTCAAGAATCATAACATTCCGGTGGTTCTCCATAACAAATATGTGGGTAAAGGGATGGCTGACAACCCCATGAACTCCATATTCATACCAACAAGAAGCCCTCCTCGGCAGTCTCTCATTGAAACTGTCGGAATAACTGAAGAAGGTGTGTTCATTGAGGCTAGCAGCGGGTTTGGTCAGTCATCAGAGAGTGTCCACTGCCACCATGGAATCATGTCTGCTGAGGTTTGGCATCTCTCTTGCTTACAGTTCCAAATTGCACAAATCTATTTTTTTACAAGCTTCATTTTGCACTTTGATGCTTTGTGTGCAGAGAGTAGAAGAGTAAAACAGATAGTTTAAAGCCAATGCCATAAACAATTAGAAAGCCTGCTTCTTTGTGCTAAATCAAGTATATCGACTAGGAAAAAGTTCTGATGTGCATATAGCACTTAGTATTAAGACCATAACTGAGAAACTAGAGCCATTCATTACTACCAATGGACATGCATACACGTCATAGTAAATTTTAAGAAATAAGCATGTTTAAGTCAGGTTTTATGTTTTTTTACGCTCTTATATTTCAGCTTCCAACCCCCCAACCACCTCCCCCCCACCCAAACACACACGCACACAAAAAATAAAAGCTTGATGGCACGCATGAGCTGAACTCATGCAATGCAATCACAAGTGACACCATAGCTTTCATGATTATGTGAAAATCATTGCCTCTTTGGTCTCATTAGCCTAATATGCTAACACACTGTATTCCTGCAAAATACAGATTGGACAGCTGTCTACCATTCCTCCAAAGCAAAGAACCCTGGAAGCAGCCCAGAAATACGCTCATAACAAACTTAATCTACCCAAAGAGGTATTCCACGGTGGTTTTATACTTGAGAAGATTGATGGTCCGCTATCCACAGGCCATCTGGTCCTCACAGACACTGATGTCCGGAACAATCCAGCAGTTACCTTCAACTACTTCAGTCATCCACAGGATCTCAATCGTTGTGTCTATGGTATCAAGACCATTGAAAGGATACTGAAGACAAACCGTTTCTCTGAACTCTCTGCTGATGGTGCTGGGTTATCAATGGAAAGGGTGCTCAATATGAGTGTGCAGGCTAATGTGAACCTGATACCCAAGCATACAAATGACACAGAATCCCTGGAGCAGTTTTGCAAGGACACTGTGATCACCATCTGGCATTATCATGGTGGGTGCCATGTAGGGAAGGTGGTTGACCAGCATTACCGGGTGCTTGGAGTTTCAGGCCTCCGGGTGGTTGATGGCTCAATATTTTCTAGATCACCAGGGACCAACCCTCAAGCTACAGTCATGATGATGGGCAGGTAGACTACCTCACGCAGATGAAACTTCCCTGTTTTGCTACAAAAGTTTAAATTTTAAGTGTAGAGACTGAATAGCTTTTTGTCATACTTTTTGTCCAGATATATGGGAGTGAAGATCCTAAGGAAAAGGCTGGGACGAGCAGCTGGAGTGTAGTCGATTCCTGGACATTAGCTTTTTATTATGTGTGGCCTAGGAAAGAAATTACTCATTTTTTGTGGGATCCAGAATGAATCGCTGAAGAAAAACAAGCTATGTGTTTCATCTGTACCCAGTAATCATTTGTCTAATATGATATTGCAGACTAAATGGTTGACTGAGCCCCTCTTTCTTCTTTTTTATTGTTTATTAAGTGGATTTCAAGAAACAAACTCTCATGAACTGCACCCTCATTAAAGGAAAACTGAGGTTGTTTAACAATATCACACCAAGCGAAATAAAATCCATGGCAGAGTGCTGTATGTTACTATGTTAGACAACCGCATATGGGCACATGGGCTATCGGCGTATTATGGTTAATTATAGAATTATAAATTGATTGCTATTGTATTAAGCAAGGAGATCCGACGGTGGTCATACTTCTACAAACCAACCCAGGTCCTCCTTGCCTATATATGTACCCCTGCTTATTGGCCTCCTAATCAATCTACTAATTTCCCACGCAATTCCATTGCTTTCACTGTATATCAACAAAAGAGAAGAAATTCCATTCACAAAATTCAATAATCTGACTTTATTATGTCAGAAAGTGTTTGGTGTAACTCTGCTACATAAGTTTCCCCTTTGAGGGGGAAGAATGAAAAGGAAAATCGCAATGCATCGAGAGCTCAACAGATTACATCTGGTCATCATTTTACAGCTGGAGGAACTACAGAGACTCCGAAATCATCAATTAGCAGCACCTAACACATAAAACAATGCATTTGTTCCAAAATAATAATAATAATTCTAGAGCCTTACAGGTATCCTGAGACCATCATAGCTAAGCTGGATGTCAAGACCCTCTGTTTCCATCAGCTTGGCAAGATCACTGTTTACTTTCTCATGGTCCATCAAATGCATCATTCCTGAAGATATCATTCAATATAACTTAATCATTGGCAAGACCAGACCAACTGTATAAACAGTGAAATATGGGACATTAGACTTGTAATGAAATCGGGTCAAATAATTATAAGCATCGATGTCTATAAACAAGAAAGGATATCACTTGAGCATCGAATGCTTCAATGATGGGGAAAAGGGGGGAATCATTGATTGCTAACAACAGTAAGTTCTCAATGGTGATGGTGATGGTGATGGACGTACATCTAGTCTTATCTTTCATTAGTATTGGGAAATAGTGTCAAATAAGGGTAAAAATTTCAAATAATCTCAGAGTTAAATTATGAAGTTACGACTACCTTTATATTCTTGCTGTGGCATATGTATGGTCACAAAGGCATTGTAGTTGAATGGTTCATTGGTTCAACACACCCAAGCAAAGGCAAACATATTTTCATGTTGCCGACTGTATAAAATAATCATGCAAGCTTTTCTCTAGCAAACTAAGCAGTCCGTGAAAGAGTGAGCTTTGTATTTGTACAACCATTGGGAAACGAAATGCAAGAGTTGACAAATTTTAAAACAAAAGCATGTGTACGAGTGGTCAGTGAGTTCCTACCAGTAAAGAGTGTTTTCTTTGGTTTGATTTTCCTAACTTCCTCAAGGGCCTGCACAGTTTAAGGATACATCAAAAGGATTACAGTGAACAAGTTAGGAGATGTTATAGTAGAGCTATAGGACTAACCCTTGGTAGTCCAAAGTGTGTTGATGAAGAACGATCAGGTCTTAGAGCATCCTGTACAAAGTTATCCACCAAACTTAGATGCAATCAGACATTAATAGTTGAGAAAGATGAACAAGAAGTTAATAAGAAAAGGTTTAGAGCTTTGCCGTAAATCCAATAACTTTATGATGTAACAGTTATAGCAAATAATTGTTATATATGATACCATTATAAGAAGTTCACAGTTTTCCAGAAGCTTGTATGTTTCTTCAGGTATATCACTGACATCACTGCATCCATCACAGGAATTCAGACAAGAGGCCTTACAGCAACACACTTCATTGTAGCAAAATTAACCTTGCACTGAACTTGGTCTACCTTATATAGCATACATCACCAAAACGAAAACCAAGAGAGCGGTAACCCTGACCGTGCCAAACAGGTAAAGGAATAACCTGAGATGAAGAAAACGTAGCTTCAGAAAGTAATATGAAGCACTTCTATCTTTTATATGATTATTGAAATACGGTTAGTATGCACCAATAGAAGGAAAGACAAATGAATGGGCAGTTACTTTAAAGAACAAATGATAGTTTCGTGACAGGTCTACTAAAATTCACATGCTGGCAAGTATTGCCAGCTTGCTTCTGGCAGTCATTCTAACCCAAATCACTGAAAATAGGAGCTCAAATTGCTCATCTACTAAAGCGAAATGCTTCAATACAATACATTCAAACAATTCCCTTACAGATAGGTCTTTCATTTATAATTGAACAAGCAACCAAGTTTTTGAACCATTTGATCAGTTTGTTTGTACCAATAAGTTCTATTACTTAAATATTCTCAATTAATTAATTGAACCTATCACATGATAATTCACCAAAATAAGGCAATAAGCACAAGTTTATAACTGTGAATCCCAATCCCATACAGCATCCACTGAGTCAAGGAGGGTACTTTGCGATTATAAAACATAATGACACAGGTATGGGGTATTTGCTAGTTACATTTCCTATTACAAACCTCGAGATTGTGAACCATAAATGGTTCTTCTTTTATAATGTTGAATTGCAATGCTGAAACTGCCGCTCCAGGTATAACTACACTTGTGTCGATCAGATAATAGTGGGTCATCTTCATCACCTGTCACAGAAAAACAAATGACAAAGAAAGAAAGCAAATGAGCCAGTTTTTGTGATCAGGACAAAAACAAAAAGAAGACAATGATCTTTTTAACAGATATTTCACTTATCATTTGCTACTGTTTTAAAACGACCAGTCAATTGGCTAGACAGTTGTCCATGTAATCCGTAAAATTTGTTTTGTCTTCATACAGTAACAGAGACCAAAAAGAGGAGGGGGGGGGGCGGAATCCAACCTCATAATCACGCTCCGCCACATAAATTGGGATCGACGACTGGACATTGTTCGTCCAATCACGAAGACAATCAAACCCTGCACCGGAGACGTTATCTTTCTTTATCATTTTTATGAAAAAGACGAGATAAAAAGGACATGGATTGTTGTCCCAACTGATACCAACACCATTGCTTTAAGCTAAACAGTTACAACAGGACCAAAAAGTAGCAAAGGTTACAGACCTCCAATGGCATCAGCATGAGAATGGGTAATAATGACACCATCGATCGTCCTCAAACTGAAAAGTAGGAGGAAACACTTTGCATGACCAACTTTGCACCCAAACAAACTGAATATTGTATCAGATCAGATCAAAGACAGCACCCAAACGTGGGGAACCACTGGAGTGCCGAGTGGTAGAAGAACCTGAGGAGAATATAAACGGGTCAGTGAAGAAATGAAGCAAAGCGAGTTGTAGTGCCCATCCATAGCACATACTTGCCGGCATCAACAACAATGTTGGTGGTGCCAGACAGGGTGGCGTGGCGCAGAAGGATAGAGGTGTTGCGCCTCCTGTTCGGGTTCCCTGGCTCAGCCGCCTTGGTACAAACCTGCATGCAGGACAAGACAAAGCAAGCTACAATGAGCAACAAAAAGGTAGCATGGACGATGCAATGTTGTTGGGCAATATAGAGAGATGGTGAATGAGGCAAATGGCATACGGGGCAGGTCTTGGTGGGGTGGGTGAGGCAGCTGACGCGCGGGATGCCCTCACTAGTGCCCGTACCGAGGAAGATGAGCTCAGACTGCAGCCGCTGGTCCTCCTCCGACGTCGAGGAGCCAGAAACGGTGCCGCCACCGGAAGACGCACGGGCGACGCTGCTGTAGAAGGAGCGCGCTGGAAGAGAAACAAGCAAGCAAACAAGGGGGAGGCGTTACGTCGAGCAGCTGATACGCAGCCGCGCGGGCCGTAAGTTTCCGTACAACTTGGCGCGCTTGACGCACCGGATCGGAGGCGCGGGTGGAGAGCAAGCCGCGGCGAGAACGAGGAGGGAGCGGAGCGCGTCGCGGCGGCGGTGGCGAGGCCGGGGAACGCGCGCGCGATACGCGACGCCGCCGGCGCCATGTGCGGGGCCTGCGCTCGCAGGAACGCCGCGGCGATCGCGCCCGTAGCGGCGCGGGGCATTGTCGACGCCGGCGGTGGCAGTAGCGGCAGCAGCAGCAGCCGATTCAGAGGCGGAGGCGGGTGCGGGTCCCTGACCGGCGTCCGCTTGTCGCGGGGCGGGGACGGACGCTGGCAGGTGGACCCGGGGTGCCCGTGCGCGTCTGGTGGCAGAGAAAGGTCCAAAAGGTTTTGTGTACTGTGCTCGGAAAAGCGTACGTCAACTGACAGGTGGGCCTAATATCATCCGGTCCCGCATGTCGGTGGAAGGGCCTTGACAATGTGAACCACTATCCACTGGGCTCTGGACTCGATTGGGCCGGGCCGAGGAATATACCCATCGTTTCATCCGTTTCCCTTTGCCCAAAGCCCCCAAACGTACGGTGCCTCTCGTTCCTGCATCTCTGCGCCTCCCCGGACACAATCGACTTCGCCGGCTAACCCCGCCGGCGACGACAGCCAAGTGCGCCCGCCCCCCCCCAACTATCCCCCGATCGCTTCTCTCTCTCTCTGAATTTTTCTGCTAGTTGGCATCGACAGGAGAACCAACTTGAGACATGGTGTTCGCTTGATCTTGGCACTGTGTAGGTCGTAGGAATGATTGATTCCTAGCAGCGCCCATGCTTCAATTCACGATATAGAGAAAGGAAAAAACTCCTGCCTATTGGATGGATGAATAGTATTCATTGCGTCCGTAACCGAGCATTACATCAGTTTGTGTTACCGAATTTGGTGATAATCTGTAATATGGCGGGGCTCACAGATTCACTGAAAAAAAATCATTTGTCTCGAGACTCGCTGAAAACACTAGATCCTAAGATGAGCACCCTTGCTGATTCTGAAATATCCAACCAGAGCACTGGTTTCTTCCCTATGCAACCTATGCGATCTGTAATGAAGACGGGATGGTCAGTCCGACTCAGTACCTCCCTCCCCGGGTTGGTCTGGGTTCGAGCCCTCAGTGGCTCACCCTTTGTGGCTTCGGCCACAGTGACGGGGAGGGGAAAAAAACTCCCTCGTCTGTCTCACGTCCGGCCGGCTCATCTCACGGAGCTGCAGTGCCGCTGTGCGAGGGTGGGGCAGGGGTTCAGGGGTTTTCTCGAGAAGATCTCTTCTTAAACCAGAATACCCGGCGGCTGTCTAGCCACCGTGGACCGAGTTTTTTTAATGAAGATGGGAGGTACTCATTAAATCATGTCAGTTTTATGCATCTTTGCTACTGGTTTGGTGGCTTATTACTACCAAATACTCCCTCTGAAATAGATGTCATTTTAGGATTCCTTCTGGTCAGTTCTTTTTTAACTTTGACACCATATGAGAATTGTGTACATTGACAATGTATGATAGATAGTACTACATTCATCACGAAAAAGTACTTATATTATTTAATTATCTTTATTTTAAATGCTATGTTTTTAATAGAAATTTCTAGTCTAAGTACCACTTTGTAGAACATGTCGATGTCCTAAACGTCATGTATTTTAAATCAGAGGTAGTAGCGTGTCTTGCTTAGAACTCTCAATTTAGTGTTAGGTGGGTGGTTAATCCTATAGTGTAAATCAGAGGTAGTAGCGTGTCTTGCTTAGAACTCTCAATTTAGTGTTAGGTGGGTGGTTAATCCTATAGTGTAAGCTGGCGATCACCATTTTCTTCGTTGCAACGAACCGTGTGAAGAGTTAAATGTTTGCACTGTGGTTTATATGTGCCGCTTCTTCAAGTGAAGGTCACAATTTTTTACTTGTTTTTCCTGATGCGTGGGACTTCTTTCATTTTCAAGCACAGTGGAGCTCGGAGGAGGAAGTACTCTGCTGTGAATGGGAAATGCCATGAACAAAGACAAAGTTCATGATAAGGAAACTCACGGAACAAGTAGCGATATAATTGAGAAGACGTCTGTGGAAAAGGTGAAGGGTCCAGATCTGCTTGAGTGAGCAAAGGAAGAGATCGAGGCTCTTGCTGGAGCTGTTCATACTAAGATGGAGCACCATTCCAGTCCCCATGAGAAGAAGGAAGGTAAAATTATCTAGAACGATGTTACTTCACCTTTACTAAAAGGGCGTACCCAGTGCAGAGAGCTCCCGCTCTGTGCGGGGTCTGGGGAAGGGTGTCAGTGGCAAGCCTTACCCTCGCCTGTGCAATGCGAGGAGACCACGACTCGAACCCGGGACCTTCCGGTCACAGGCGGTAAGACTCTACCGCTTGCACTAGGCCCGCACTTCACCTTTACTACCCTGTATATTAAATATGAAAAGGAATGGAGAGCAAGAATCTGGAGGATAAGAAGAAAGAAAGGACAGTAATGGTGCCCAGAATCAACTCGCATCTTTGCACTTTTTATAGTGATTTTATAGTATATCTTTTACCCTGCGTGTTGTTCATCTTTACCAACTGAAGCTAAGTACAACTGTAGCTACTTACCAATAGAATGTGTCATCATTCATACCAAAGACATTGGATGTAATTCACCAAAAAACCATTCAGCCCATATACTATAGCTTGACCTTGTCATTTATCGATGTCATTTGCAAACTATAATGTGATTCATGATGAGAGCCATTGATTTTACAGTAAAACAACTGCAAATGTGAAAGTTCGGGTTGCTTCTCCTTTTAATAGCATGTGCTGTCCCTTTGTATTAATGAAAAACATGTCTTGTGCATTTGTCTTAATTCTTTCACCGTTTTTGGGAAAGAGTAGGTTTGTTCAACATTTTTTGCCCTGATGAATGATCACAAAAGTATGACCTAGAACATTAGCATGCAGACATTTTCAAACTTGCACAAAGGACTTCTGAGCATATTGAGTTCATAATGGTTATCATTGCCCAAGAATTAAAATTTACTGCTGCTTAATCATAGAATTTTGTGTATATCCTTTCAAGTATAGAAGTACTCTTAGCTATACTAAAGTACTGCTTTTTAGATGCTAATTGAAAAACAGGAACAGGGTTCAATGGTTGTTTAGAACCTTATAGAACATCTTAATTCCAAGTTTGTAATGCTATTTTCATGCTTGGTGGTGATTTTGAATCAATATTACTAACACCACTTCAATTGAGAGCTTTATCCTCAGTACAATGCGGATCTCTGAAATCTGAATACATGCAGAATCACATAAGGAAGACAAGGAGGGGAGCCTGCACAATATAAAAACACACACGAATGAAACTCATGGAACTAGTGCTGACATAAATGAGAACACACCAGTCGACAAAGTCAAAGGCCCGAATGTGTTTGAGCGTGCCAAGGAAGAGATTGAAGCTATTGTGGAAGCTATCCATCCGAAGAGTGGATCAGACAGTAAGTGAAGACTGGGACCCCTGGGGCTGTTTTGCCTTAACTGGCTGTAGAAGCCTTAACATGAGGTCATGAGCTACCAGATAGACACATGATTTCAAAGATGTCCACCCAGGTGGTGTTTTGTATACGCGTTCTGGAGCTGTAAAAGCTAAGAGCTGACTTGTTTGTAACTGTTTTCAGTTATGCCATTGTGGTTTGTTTGACCAGAGATGTGTAGAAATATTCAACGTGGAATTGTGATGCTTAAATTGTTGTGCTTGACAGGGCATATCTTGTTTTGCCAACTCACCATGCTCCGGAAGTTGTAATTGTTAGCTAATCTACTGCCATCTTGTGTGAACACAGCAGAGGAAGGCGACGCCGACTTTGTCCCTATTTGTGATATTGTAGTCAGCTGCAGTGCGGTATTTGCTCACCGGGCAATGACCTTTGTAGGCACATCATCATCGGGGCGGTGCAGAGTCGATCATGTATGCTTATCTAGTTAATGTTACAGCATGTGCGCTATACTTTGGTTAAATAGATAGAGGTGTATAAATAGGGCACCAAGGCAACTCAGTAAAGAGAGCTCAAATTTGCCATCACACAGACAGGGCCTCGGCCAACGTTGTTGTCTTGTATTGTGCGTGCTTGCTCTGTTCTCTCTTCTTCTAGCTCGATCCGTAGTGTGTGGGTACGGATAAAGCCGGTACGGTGGTCGGCACGGTTAGTGGTCTGGAGGCTGGAGACTAGTGGTCTAGGAGTCCAGGGGTCTGAAGACTAGTGGTCTGGGAGGCCAGGGCTGCGAGGCTAGTGGTTTGGAGGCTATCTGGTTCACTGTCGTCAAACGGTGATCCCGTAGATTCAACAAGTGGTATCAGAGCCTGGTACAAGCGCCGTCGTCATTCTAACCGATGGCGATGACAGGCGGTTTGGAGTTGGGCGACGACAGTGGCACTGTCATAGCTGCCCAGCCACTACCGGAGGTAGTTGTCCGCACGGTGCGGGAGGTCAGCGGCACCACTTGGCCGACGCTGACTCGCACTAACTATGGAGAGTGGTCGGTGACCATGAAGGTCAAGCTCGAGAGCCTGACGGCTCGGAATGCTGTGACAAGGGCACCAACGTGGGAGAAGACGACATGTCGGCGTTGGAGGCTATCCTCGCTGCTTTGTCTGCGGTGGAGTCTGAGGAACCGTTGGGGACGAAAAAGCTCAGCTAAGGAGGCATGGGAGGCCATTGCGGCGATGCTTGGCGTCGGTTCCGACCCGCGCAAAGAAAGCGACGGCCCAGCTTCTGAAGCAGGAGTATGTAAACCTCAAGTTCAAGGATGGTGAAACAGTGGAGGACTTTTCCCTCCACCTGCAGACGCTCATCAGCAAGCTGAAGAGCCACGGTGTCACCATCGACGAAGAGGAGGCGGTCTCCAAATTCCTCCACTCCGTGCCGGCAAAGTACATCCAGATCGCTCTCTCCATAGAGACGATGCTGGACTTGTCCACCCTCACCATCAAGGATGTGGCAGGCCGTCTACACGGCGATGGGCGAGCACACGGACAGGCGGCGGCGACAAAGAACGGCGACAGCTGGAAACTCCTGCTGACGGAAGAGGAGTGGGCTGCTCGGCGAAACTCCGAGAAGGCAGCCTCCTCCAGTCGCGGTGGCAACGGCAAACATCGCGGCAGGGCTTCTTCGGAGAAGAAGCAAATCGACTCCAACGCCTGTCGGTGTTGCGGGAAGATGGGC